TCTCCCACAGGAACCCCCCAAAAACTGCCCCCCGAGGCCCCAACCCCCACCAAGGACGGTTCCAAACCCCCCCTGTGACCCCCAAATCTCTCCAGGAGATCCCAGAATTCCCCTGGACCCCAAATCCCCCCAGATTCCTCCCAAATTTCCACAGGGATCCCCAAAAAGCGGCTCCGGCCCCCCCCCGCTCACCCCTCCCGCGCCATCACCGCCGGGCCCCGCCCCCCGCGCTCCCATTGGTCACTCCTCCCGCGCGCCAACTCCCACCCTCGCATTCCATTGGCAGCCATGCCTGTCAATCATCGCCCGACCACAGAGACGGGGCGGGAATTCCTCCGAGAGCGCCAGAGCGCCGGAGGGGTGGGCTTAAGAAGGGTTTAGACCAATGGAAGAGCAGAGAGTTGGATTGACAGGAGGATAAACCAGTAAGCGCTCGGCAAGCGGGCGGCGCCGTCCAATGGGAGCCGCGGCTTTGTCCTATATGAGCGCGCGCGGGACAGCGGCCGCCGCCATTTTCGCCGCCGTCGCTCTCGCGCCTTACGCTCCGCTCTTAAAGGGGCCGCGCCGCCTCTTTCCCGTTATTTTTTTAATCCCGTTTTTCCAAGCGTCTCCGGCTCCGTCCGGGTGGGCCCGAGCCCCTCCCGCCAAACTCCGCCGCCGCCATGAGGGAGATCGTCCACATCCAGGCGGGCCAATGCGGCAACCAGATCGGCGCCAAGGTGAGCGGGGCGGGCCCCACCTCCATCCCCCGCCGCGCCGGCGTTGCCCCTTTAAGACACCCCCACCCACCTCACGCTCTCCGAGACAAAGGGGAACCCAAATTTGGGCGATTTTACCCCAAAATCGGCGTTTTTTCGCCCAAAGCGCAGCTCTGAGGGAAGGAGGCGCCGCTGCTTTGGGCGGGTTTGGGGTTTAAAGGAGGAGATTCGGCTGGTAAATGAGGATTTGCGGTGGCCGAACGCGCTCCCCCCTCACGCGGCCGCAAAATGGCGGCTGAGGGCGGCGGCCCCGAAACGCGGCGATTTCGCCTCCAAAATCGGCTTTTTTTGGGTGTTTTAAATGAAAATAATGATTTTTTTTTTCTTCGTTTAAATGGGTATTTAAAAGATTTGGTTCTAAATGGGCGCTTTTTGTCCCAAATCGAGGGGGTTTAGCCGAGGATGGGCGGGGAAGGCGCCAAAATGGCGGCGAGGAGCCGCGAAATAAAAAGATTTGAACCCCAATTTTAAATTTTTACCAAGAAATTTATTGCTGATAAATTCCAAAATCTGGGTTTTTTTTTTTTGCTTATGTTTTATGCTCTATTTTATATGCTGCTTATTCAGACCCGAAACTTCTATTTTCACCTCAAAATTGGGTATTTTCGCCTCTAAAATCGGCTGTTTTCCCGGCAAAACCGTGAAATTTTATTTCAAAAATAGAAATTTCGAGGGTCAAAATGAAGATTTTTGACCCCCAAACGGGGCGTGACGCCCCGAGGGGTCAGATCCGAAAATGGGAGGATTTAACAAAAAAAAAATAAAAGCGGTTTATTTTAAAGAAAGGTGTTTAATTCCTAAATAAAACGAATATTCCTACTTTTTGGTTCAAAATCAGATTTATTTTTTTTTTTAATCCAAACATAGATTTTTTTACCCGCAAAATAAATTCAAACTTCATTTAACCCGCAGGATTTTATGACAAAAAGTTAATATTTTATTCATCAAACGCGTATTTGATATTTTAAAATCGCAATATTAATCCGCAAAATTGATGGTTTTTTCCTCTTAAATTGGCTTTGTTCCCTAAAATTTCCTTTTTACCGCTAAAAATCGATTATTTTTTCCCCATAAAAATGTATTTAGCTTTCAAAACGTTAATATTCGGGATTTAAATGATTTATTTTGCTCTCGATGAGGGGATTTTGCTGCTAAAATTCGGGTTTTTTTTTCCCCAGCCCAAAACAGAGCTCGGGAGCTCCAGCTCAGCATTTTTATTTCACAAAAAAAACCCCAATTTTCGGTGCAAAATCAATATTTTTATTCCCAAAAATCGGATTTTTGGAGGCAAAAAAGGGATGGATTTATTTTTAAAGGGTCATTTCTGCTTTTAATCGTTATTTTTTTGCAGCTTTAAGGGAGTTGCCAGCCCCAAAATGGAGGTTTCCACCCCAAAATGGAGGTTCTGGGGAAGAATCGCAGCTTTGTGCTCCCAAATCCGCTTTTTTTAACCTCAAAATCACCGGTTTTCCTCCAAAACAACCACTTTTTATTTTAAATTCTATTTTTTTGTAGCGCAAACCGGTGATTTTTAACCAAAAAAATGTCGTTTTAGGCCTGGAATTTATAATATTTCACAGCGAAATGTTATTTTTGATGCTTCAAAAATCCCTTTTTCTCCCCTGAATATTCGCTTCCCCCCAAATCAGCTTTTTTAAACTTCATATTCCTTTTTTATATTCATTAAATGAATTTTTTTTATCCAAAAATCGCCGTTTTCAGCCCCAAATCCATCTCTTTGTGTCTCCAGCCCGCGTTTCCTGCCCCAAACCCAAATCTTTGTTCTCCAAAACGCCTCAAATTGGGAGTTTTTTAGCCCCAAAAATCCGATTTGTTGATTTTTCTTTTAACTCTGCGAATGCTTTGAACAAAAATCGCGATTTTTGAGGCCCAAAAAAGGGGTTTTTTTACAGAAAAAGCGAGTCAAATTTCCTCTCAAAAATTCCATTTTAACCCCAAACCCGCATTTTTTCCGCTCCAAAATTTGCGGTTTTTCCCTCAAAATATTTTTCCTCCAAAAAATCTTCATTTTTGTCGCTAAATTCTCCATTTTTGCCCACATTTTTTTCTCAAAAATTGTCATTTTTAACCCTGTTTTCCGAAGCTCCTAAAAGCAGATTTTTGGCCAAAAAAAGCCGATTATTTTAACCAAAAATTCTTATTATTTATGTTAATATATTTCTTAATTAATTTATTTTTAATAAAAATAAATTTATTACTTATATTAATTTATTTTTACGAATAATATATTATTAAATTAATTTTTTTGCTCTTTTACCCCAAATTTCCATTTTTTTACCTCAAAATAACATTTGTTAAAGCTGTTTTTTCCCTCTTTTCTCTGAAACTTCCCTTTTTTAACCCATTTCACCCATCAGCCCCAAAATCGGGATTTTTTAACCCATTTCTGCTCACAACCTCCTAAAAAACCAAATTTTAACCAATTCCTTTCCTCAGCTCCAAAATCAGCGTTTTTAATCCCATTTTCCCCTTTATTTTTTATATTAAATTGTTGCTTTTTAATCTTTTTTTTCCCCTTTCACCTCCAAAATTCACATTTTTAAACCATTTTTTTCCCCTCAGACCCAAAATTGGATTTTTTTAATTCACATTTCTCCCTCACAATCTCCAAACCCCCGTTTTTATCTCAAATCACCGCTTTTAATGTTTTTTTTTTTTAATTATCAACCCCAAAATTATCCTTTTTTAACCCCAAAACCCCAAATTTGCGGAGCCTCACCTCAAAATCCAAACTTTGGAGCCTCCCCCGAGCGGTTTTTGGGTGTAAAAATCCTGATTTTGGGTCCAAAAAAAGCCGATTTTGGGTGTAAAAAGCCGATTTTGGGTGTAAAAAGCCGATTTTTGCAGGGTTAGTTTGAATTTCAATGATTTCCCGCCAATTCCTCGCGTTCCCGCCCTTTTAAAGGGGCGGGGCCACACCCTGACCACGCCCCCTCACGGAGCCACGCCCCCAAATCACAAAAAAACCCCTAAAAATCGCCTTTTTTACCCCAAAAAAGGCTGGGGGGTGGCTGTGGGTTGTAGCCCCGCCCTTTTAGCGCCTGACCACGCCCCAGATTTATTTTAAAAGCCCCCAAAATTCTCATTTTTCAACCCAAAACCGATCCTGGCTGTGGGTGAGGTTTGGTGGGCCCCGCCCCTCGCTTGGCCACGCCCCCAAATTCCTTTAAAATTCCGATTTTTTTTTTTAACTTTTATTTTTTTGACGTTTTTCTATTTTTGTTTTCTATCCTAAAATCCTAATTTTTTATCCTAAAGTTCCTAATTTTTTTGAGCTCCAAATTCTCATTTTTCTGCCCCAAAATTTGGGTCCTGGGTGGAGCAAAATGGGCGTGGCCTCCCTGCCCCACCCCCTCCTGAAGCCCCACCCCCTTTTACACCTTGGCCACGCCCCAAAAATTCCCATTTTTACCCAAAATTCCCAATTTTTCTCCATAAATTACTGATTTTTCCCATAAAAATCCCAATTTTTTCCTTCCAAATCCTTTTTTTTTCCCCCAAAATCCCCATTTCCCACCCCAAAATCCCCATTTTTTTCCCAAAATTCCCGATTTTTCTTAAAAAAAGTCCCAATTTTTTCCTTCCAAATCCCCATTTTTCCCCAAAATCCCCATTCCCAATTTTTCCCCATAAAAATCCCCATTTTTCCCCAAAATCCCCATTCCCAATTTTTCCCCATAAAAATCCCCATTTTTCCCCAAAATCCCCATTCCCAATTTTTCCCCAAAAATTCCCAATTTTTTCCTTCCAAATCCTCATTTTTTCCCCCAAAATCCCCATTTCCAGTCCCAAAATTCCCAATTTTTCCCCATAAAAATCCCCATTTTTCCCAAAATCCCCATTTCCAACCCCAAAATCCCCATTTTTCCCAAAATCCCCATTTCCAGCCCCAAAATCCCCATTTCCCATCCCAAAATTCCCAATTTTTTCCCCAAAAAAATCCCAATTTTTTCTTTCCAAAATCTTCATTTTTTAACCCCAAAATCAGCTCTGGGCTGGCTCTGAGTGGGCGTGGCCCAGCTGGCCACGCCCCCCACAGAGCCACGCCCCACTCACA